GCCTTGGGACCACCTCCACTGTGGCTGGGGAACCCTCTGGCTGAGGCACGCCTCAGCTGCGCGAGCCTTTGGATCTCGGGCTAAGCAAATGCGGGCAGGAGAACCAGGGGGGTCCTGGCAGACAGGTATCTAGAGACCTCAGTGAGACTCCTCCTCCAGGAACAGACAGACCCACTCCATTCATTGAACACCTACTGCTTACCAGGCACATTATCTCACTTAATCCTCATCACTGGGAGGGAGAAACTATTATCACCTCCAAGGCCATTCAGCCAGAGGTCACAGTTGGGATAGAAAACCAGGAGTATCTGATTCAAGGCCACATTGAGTTATTCCAACACACATCTCTAAGTCCCCTCTTTCGACTCCTGTATCTCAGCCCTGGGGAAAGAGGGGAGCAGGGAGGGCTTTCTGGAGGAGGTGATACCTGCACTGATGATTCTAAGATGACAAAAAGAAGGTAGCCAGGTGAGGGAGCAGAAAGTGTTCCACACAGATGGAATAGCACGTGCAAAGCCCTAGCAGTAAGAAGCAGTTGAAAGGCCAGAATGTGACAGAAGTTTGGTGTCACAGGTTCATAGGAAGAGCAGGAAGGGGCTGGAGGGCAGTGGGGCAGCGGAAGCTGGTCACAGAGGGCCAGATGCAGAGGAGTCTAAGCCGACCCTATCCTATGGGTACATGGGAGCTTCGGGAGGACTCCGAATGGTGGAGCTGGTGGGTCAGATGAGGAAACCGAGGTTCAGAGAGAGCAGCACGATCTGTCAGATGACTCCATCCAGGAAAGGACATGAAGCTGGGCCTCGTGTCAGGGGTGTGAGAATGGGCTAGGCCAGGCGGCACACTGAAGACCAGATGCGGGCTTGCAGCCCCAGCTGGGAGCTGTGGCCGAGCTTTAATTATTTACAAGGCTACTTCCCAGCAGGCCTCAGCACTCCTACAGCCTGGCCTTGCCAGCTAATGAACTCTCGGCCACGGGAGACCTTGCTGCGGCCACTCTTTATTAAAACTGGAACGGAGCGGTGATGGGGGCTGGGAGAACAGGGCAGCCTAAAGAAGCCTAAACAGGTAGAGGAAACTGAGCATACGACCAGTCCACCTGTCTAAGCAGTCCATCCACACGGAGAAGCGCAGAGCTCTTCCCAGAGCTGGAAGTGGAGTGTGGGGGTTGATGTCCCCTCAAGATGGGGAAACAGAGGCCTGGGAGGACTTGCCTGAGGTCGTCAGCTAGTGCTTGATGCAGCACAAGTTCCATTAGTTGGGTGCCTGCATTCACACCCCAGCAGTTTCAGTTTCACTTAAAAATCATACACCCTTGGGCTTCCCTGGTGGCGCAGTGGATGGGAGTCTGCCTGCCGATGCAGGGGACGTGGGTTCGCGCCCCGGTCCGGGAGGATCCCACATGCTGCGGAGAGGCTGGGCCCGTGAGCCATGGCCGCTGGGCCTGCGCGTCTGGAGCCTGTGCTCCACAACGGGAGAGGCCACAACAGTGAGAGGCCCGCGTACCGCAAAAAAAAAAAAAAAAAAAATCATACACCCTTGTTACTTAACCCCTCTGTGCCTTTGTAAAATGAGGAAAATGCGGGTACTTCCAAGAGTCACCCCATTTTATAGACTCGAGGTGCACGAGGTGATACATGTAGAATCTCAGCACAACTGGTCCACAGCAAGTACTCAGTAAGCGTTCATTGTTGTTGCTGTTGCTACTCTGGGGGCAAAGGGCTGGCTGGAGACCAGAACCCGTGTCTCTGCTCCCAGACACTAAGCAGCAACAGGAAACTGAGGCCAAGGCGCCAGCTGGCCTACGTGACCCAGGTGCAGCCAGGAACCCCACCCCTTCCCCTGGCCGGGCCGCCCCTGGGCTTCCAGCCCCTTCCTCCACTTTGAAGGCCCTTTGAGCTGGGAACTGAAACCCCATGAGCCTTTCCCTTCCCCATCCCCGTCAGACCTGTGTCTCCAAAAGGCTGAGTCCCATCCGCTGCGGGTGAGCTTCCGCGCTTAGAAGGTCTTCCTTTGAGTTCCAGCTCCAACCCTGAGGAGCTGTGTGAATTTGGGGGAGTCACTTCACCTGTCTGAACCCCAGTTCTTCCTCTATAATGCGGAGACTGCATCACCTATTTTTAAATGGTAAGCTCTGAGGGAATGGCATTAGTTACCATCTTTCAAGGCCTGCCTTAGCTGTCTCTTCCTCCAGAAAGCCTTCCTTGGTTTCCCCCACATACAAGCTCCCTCCCTCCAACCTCCATCAGCTCTCAGAATTCACGGTCTGCATTCTGACCCCTTTGGGAGCCTGAACTCATTTTGTCCCACACAGACTTCACTTACAAATGGCAATCCCCATTTTGCAGGCCGAGAGGTATAGAGATGGGGTGATTCAGGCCCTCTCACAGGGTGGAATGGTTGGAGTGGTCAAATATAAGGCAGGGAGGATGGTTCCAAGAAATGCAGCTCGGGCAGGTGGCCCGGAATGGAGGGAACTCCCCAGATAGGGAAGGAAGGGGTGACAAAAGACCATTTTCCAACACCAGGCCTCATACAGCCACCCAAAGCTCCCACCCCTTTCTTCAAGATTTCTCTTTGTGGCCCCTAGGGGTCCCTTTCTAAAGACCTTGGTGGTGTGGACACTCATCCATTCCCTTCTCTTCACCAGCGCCAGGTGAAGACTTCCTACGGGTATAACCGATGGTAGAGGAACAGCTACCCCGCATTTGGCAGATGAAGAGACAAGCCCAGAGAAGCCCAGAAAAGCCCAGAAAAGCCCAGTGTGGGGGACGGATACTTGACACCAACAGCAAAGCCCTCAACGTCGGTTGCTTTTGTTCACTAACCCTCTGCCTGTGATTCCACCCCATCCATCTCAGAATGAAAGTAGGAGCCCAGAGTGGCCGTCAGATTGGCCCTGGTCCCATCTGGGGTCGCCCAGCCACCCGCTACTTCACTCCTCCATCTTGCCCAGAGCCTCGATGGAGATGAAAAGCACCCGGATCACCCTCCTGGGTCCTTCTGCACCACACTCCCACCAGAGCAGACAGTGCCCCTGAGCTAGGAGGCAGGTGGACACCCTCACCAAGTTCTGTCACTCTCAGCTGTGTGACCTTAGGCAAATCACTCAACTTCTCTGAGCCAGAGTCCTTATCTACAAAGGGGGATGACAAGAAACACGTCTGCTCTTCACGGCCACCCCCAACAAAACTGTTGTTATACAGAGCCAGGGAGATAAGGTAAAACCAGCCCAGAAATGCACAGTTTCCACTTCCTCGCCTCATCCTCAGCACTCCCCCTGTAAGGAAACCAAAGAAGAACAACTCCGGGCGAGGAGACTCACTATCACATTTTACCCTGGCTCAGGCATTTTCAGAATTTCAATATCATTGGGAAATGGTTAGGGTCATAATTAGACTAAGAACTCTGGAGTCAGATGCTTAAATTTAAGCTCCTACTTAGCAGCTCAACAGCTGTGGAATAACTGACTTGATCTCTCACTGCCTTGGGGCTTTTTTGTTTTGTGTTTTTTGGTTTGTTTTGGTGTATAAAATAGGACTGCTCTGAAGGTTACAGGAGTTTATATAAGATAAGCACTTACCACAGTGGTTGGCACACAGCTAACAGTCGGCACATGTTAGTCGCATCACTTTCAATTACATTTCTAGAACTGGTCTTCAAAACCAGGGCAGGAATCATTAGCCCAAGTGGTCAGGAGAGGAAACTGAGACAGGAGGGAAAGATGCGCCCATGTCACACAGCCAAATCTGGGTTGGTCTGAGAATGAACCTGGGGGCTGACTAGCAAACCCCGAAAAAAACCACTATAACTCAACAGACAATGCCTGTCCAGGTGGTCTCTCTACCCCTCTTGCCACTGCGTGGTGCTGTGGGCCTGCCTGTCCACCTGTTGCCCTCCTCCCACAGAACCTGCACTCCCTGGCCTGCGGGGTGGGCCTGTTCTCCAAAGTGTCCCAGTGCCTGGCATACAGCAGGTGCTCAGTAACGATGAATGAATGACTGCCCGCGTCTGTGTTTTTATAGAGTCCTGTTTATCTGTTCCTGGAACTATACTCCTTCCACTGTGGCAACTGCTTGCTAACTCGCCTCAGGTCCCACAGACATCAGAAACCACGTGCACCTCACGAAACAACTTCCAAAGCAGTCGTGCCCAGGTGTACAGACACCACACTCGGCAAAGGCGGCCGGCCACCTGCACGTGACCATGGGTTCACGCGCGGCCTTGGGATCCTCACCCCCCTTCCAGGAAACAAACTCATCCCTCTGGCCCCCTCCTTCCTGCTCTGCCCCATGACTCATGCCTCAGTCTGGCTGGCAGGAGAGCGCAGTCGGCCAACCAGGGTGGCACAAGAAAGGTCTTCACCATGACTAGGCAGAAAGGCAGCGGGCGCCAGCGCCCCGCCTGCACCTACTACCCAGGGGAGGAGCGGGGGTGTGGCCAAGGCGGGGCCAGGGCAGGGCCCCAACGCCAAGGGCGCCAGAAAAGTGCACACCCAGCCGTTCCACGATTGGCCTGCTTCGGCCACAGGGACCTATGGGGTGGTCCTCGCACAGCCAATCAGGGGCCCCGGGGAGCCCATTCATTCACAAAACCCAGCAGGAAAAGGAGTGAGGCTAGGCCCAGAGTTGCCTGGAACTTTGAGACACGAGTGCGTTCCGTGGGGCCTAGGCAAGAGTCCCGGAGGGCCTGATCGCAGAAAGCTAGACGCTTGCAGGGACCGTCGCGTCGCCGCCCCACAGTTCCGGCCCAGCAACCCGGGCGTGGCGTGCCCTCCTCCCGGGCCGTGCTGCGCCGGGCTTCGCCCCCGGCTCCATCAGGACCTGCCGGCCCAGAACCCGCTGGGTCCCTAAGTGCCTGGAGGGAAAGGGCTCCCGGGAGGGTTCCCGGCTGCAGGCTCCGGCAGTAAAGGTCCAGGCAGGTGGCCCGGTGGCGGCTGCAGCCACGTGGACGCTGAGCAAGGAGTCCCCCACCTTTCCCTCCCTCCCCGGCCGGCCACTCACGGCAGTCATCCTCGTCGCTGTTGTCCGAGCAGTCGTCGTCCTCGTCGCATCTCCACACAGAGGGGATGCAGCGCTCGTTCCGGCACCGGAACTGGTCCTCTTCGCACTCCTTGACCGACCCTGCGCGGGGGAGAGGGGGCGTGAGCCGGATCCCCGGAACAAGCGATCCCGGCCGCGGGGAGGGGTCTACTGAGTGAAGGAGAGGGCCCGATGCTGAAGCCAACGATCTGGAGGCCTCTGGCACCCTCGATCAGGAAGCAGGGCAGGATGGTAAGGGTTCCTGGGATGACGGGCTGCTCTGTGGCAGGCACACACAGTCGGTGTCCCACCACTTAGGTATGCCCCCCATTCAGAACACTCACCCGCACACACGGCCCTTAGTGAGAGACGCACGCAGACACGCAGGGAGCCCCTGACACGCACGCAGACACGCACGCAGCCCACAGGGAGCCCCTGAACACGCCGCGACACGCACACTGGGCGCTGCGGGCACATCCGCCTCGCACGCAGCCCCTCTTTCTCTGCCACACGCAGGGGTCGCCGGAAACGCATTGTCAGGCGGGGTAGTCTCCGGGCTCCGCTCAACGCCGCTGCGGAGCGCGCGTGTCAAATTAACGCCAACGGCGAGAATCACACAGCCCTCCCGAAAGCATCAGTGATCACCCCCAGCAAAGTTCCCGGCCCGCCCGGCCCCCACGGCGCCCATCCCCCAAGAGCAGGTGCCGGAGGGCAGAGCCCACCACACAGGGAGCCGCGGGGGCGGGGGTCTAGGGCAAATTAAGGGAGAGCTGGGTCCCGAGGAGCATATCCCACCCGGGCGCCTCCCTGCCAGGCCCGGGCTCTGAGGCCCCGGCGCAACCCTCCCCCCGGCCGCCGGGCCGTGCTTTGTTGGCCGCTCCGGCGGCGTAAAGCTGGGCCGGGGACCGGCCGCACGCACCTTGGCCGCCGCGCAGTGGATCCGCCGCCGCCTCGAGATGCTGGAGCTGCAGCAGCAGCAGCAGCAGCGCCAGCGGCCGGAGCGCGCCCCGTTCGGGGAGGCCCATGGCGGGCCCCGGGCTCCGGCCGCCGCTCCCCGCGCACCCCGTGCCGCCGCCGCGCCTCAGCCCTCCGAGTCCTTGCCGCGGCGCCGGGGCTGCCGCTGCCCCCGCCGCCGCCGCCGCCGCTGCCGCCCGCCCCGGCTCCTCGGCTGCATTTCAAGCAGGTTCCGTGACGCTCGGCGGCGGGGCGGGCTCAGGCTGGGCGCGCGGCCCCAGGCCTGGGCTGCCTCAGCCTGCGCGCGCGCCCCCCCCCCCCCCCCCCGCTGCCGCCTCCGCCCCACGCTCCTCCCGCTGCCGCCTCCTTTCCCTCCTCCCTCATGCCCTTGGTCCACTTCTCCCTAGGCCCGTGCTCGGTGACCCTGCTCAAGGCCCGCCGCGTGCTGGGCGTTGCAGACGTTGGGATGAGCCAGGCGAGGCCCCTACCCCCAGAGGTGGCAGACAGCCCAAGGGAAGTAGCACAGGCTGCCTGGAGGAGGTGACATGCTGATAGGTGGCTGAGGGAGGCCTAGGAGTGAACCTGGACGGGAGGGGAGATGATGTTCCCGGGTGCACAGGCCTGGGCATGTGCACACGGAGCAGGGATGGTAGTGGACAGGGATTGGGGTGCCAGGATTCTTGTGATCAGGGAGAAGCTGGGGGAGCAGGAATGAACCTCTGCACCCCTCCAAGACTCCAACCCGGATGTTACACGTCTGTGTAGCTGGTTAACATGCCTGTGTTGCATTCTCATGTGAGAATTCCCACGGCCAAGGATGTGAGGCAGGTGGCTTGGGCCTGGCTCACAAACTTGATCCATTCATTCTCATTCAGTGTTCTGTTGGGCCAGGCAGAGGGGCAGACAATCAGGGGGAACTGCATGGGCGACAGGGTAGTGGAGATGGAGAAGGGCAGAGACTGTGGGACCCCACAGAAGGGACGCCTCATCCCTGCTAATAGGGGACGCACACCCAGGGCTGCTGTCTGCTTCTGCTGGCATGAATAAGACCTCTCCCCTGGAAGGTCTCAGCCCCATCTCATCCATGCCAGGGTACAGGTGACTAGATTTTAGCTACCTGCTGGTAAGCAAGGCCCAACCAGCCCAGCCTTTTTGGACAATGAGTTTTGAGGGCACTGGCCACTAAAAGAGACAGACTGGGAGGTGGCTAGGCCCAGTGTAGGTCCACCCTCCCCTCCTCTCTTGCTGCCTCACATCCATGGCAGAGGGGCAGAAAAAGGGGCTTCAGGAGCTGTTAGTCTCAGGCCTGGAAGCCACTCTGTCTCATCAGCAGTACTGTTACTGAGCCTTGTTTCCTCCCACAGAGGGCAGCCCCTTAGCAATTCGGTCATCCAACAAGCACATCCCAGCTCTGCTCTGTGCCAACCCTGGGCCTAGGAGTGCCAAGGTGAATCAGACATGGTACCAGCTTGATTGGTGGGGAGACAGACTATCAACGGACAGACAATGAAATGCAAGCATGCTTTCAACAAAAACTTATGGAGCACCTCCTATGTGCCAGGCATTGCCCAGGGATACAGTGTAGAAATAGATGACGTCCCTCTTTGCTCTCCTACATCTTACATCTTAGTTGGGAGAGACAGACACAAAAGCAAGAAAACAAACAAACAAGAAATGATAATAATTTCAGATCATCATAACTGCTATGGAAAAAATAAAGTAGGGTGATGTGAGAGTGATGGGAGGTAACTTTAGAGAGGTGATCAGGGAAGGCCTCTCTGAGGAGGTGACATTTCGCTGAATGGCAAGAAGGAGCCTGCTGTGGACTGAATGTTTGTGTCCTCCCAGAATTCATATGTTAAAACCTAATCCCAAATGTGAGGGTATTTGAAAGTGGGGTCTTTGGGAGTCAATTAGGACGTAAATGGGATTAGTGCCCTTATAAAACAGGCCCCAGAAAGATCTCTGGCCCCTTCTACCATGTGAGGACACATCGAGAAGAGAGTCATCTATGAAACAGGAAGTGGGCTCTCACCAGACACCAACTCTGCTGGCATCTTGATCTTTTAGTGCCTTGATCTTGGACTTCTCAGGCTCCCAACAAATTTCTGTTGTTTTTAAGCCACCCAATCTATGATATTTTGTTATGGCAGCCCATATGGACTAAGACGGAGCCCAACCATAGGAAGATTGGCTGTAAGGGCATTCCTGGCAAAGGGACCAGCAGGACAGAGGCCTTGAGGTGGGTTGGAGCTCGGTGAGGAGAAGTTGGGTGACCAGGCGAGGTCAGAGTCAGCAATGTTCTGATCACATGAGGGCTTTGTAGGCCCCAGCAGGAGGTTTGGATTTTGTTCCAAGTACAACGATGGCCACTGTGACAGCAGGATGCCTGGGACTCTGGAGCCCTTCCTGCAGCCAAGACTGACTGCTTCATCTCAGCCCCTCTTTCACTCTGTGGTCTCAAGGAAAGTCAGTTCCCACCTCTGAGCTTCAGTTTCTCTTCTGCAAAATAGAGATGGAGAATTTCAAAGGTCTATTCTAGTTTTAAGATTGTGTAGATTAAAGTTCGGAGGCAGCAGGGTAAAGAGATTAAGAGCATGGGCTCTGGGTTAGACTACCTGAGTTTAAGTCTGTTCCTTCCCTTCCTAGCTACATGACCTTGGACTTAACCTCTGTGGTTAACCTCTGTGGCTCAGTTTTTTTATCTGTAAAATGGGAATGGTGACAGTACCTCACAAGGTTGTGAGGATTACATTAGAGGACATGCACAGCATGCACTGTACTGCAGGTGCATAATAGCTATTAGTTATGTTACTGTTATTCAAACATAATTCCCTGTCAAAAACCCCTGATAACCTCCTAACACTCAGAGAATAAAGACTGAGCCTTCCTTCACCTCCCCTCCAAGAGGGTCTTTGCTCATACTGTCCGACACACATCCAGCTGCCAAAGGGGGCAACTCCTTGTCTCTCGAAAACCCCCTCATTGGAGGTTCTCCAGGCTCCTCTCAGCCCCCACCCAATCTGGACCACTTCTCTCTCTCCCTAGTCAGCCTGTGACCTTCCTGAGGACAGGAACCAGCTCTCCTGCATTTCTGGGTTCCTACAGGGCATGTTTGATCAACGTTTGTTTGTTGTTGCCTTTACCATGGTTTCTGTATGCCTAGGAGGATTATGTCTTATTCATCCCTATTTTCAGAGGATAGATACAAGGCTTGGCATATAACAGGCATTAGATAAATGATGTTTAAATCCTTGAAAAGGTTAAAAGGAAAACCATATCAAGTAATAATAATAACTAATACTTATTGTACACTTGCTGGAGGTGGGGAGGGGGTCAAGCATCATCTAGGTGTTTTAAACGCTTTAACCCATTTAGTCCTTACAACATCTCCATGAGGCAGGTTTTATGTTGATCCCATTTTACAGATGAGCAAACTAAGGGGTGGGGAGGTCATACAGCTAGTAAATGGCAGGCCTAGCATTTGAACCCAGAGGGCAGAAATGGGAATTTTTCAGGGCACCTAAGTTGGTTAATCTAGTGAAGGGCAAATGAAGAAAGCTTTGACACACACCATACACCAAATGGACACTGAGGTCCTTGTACAACTTGTTCCCAAGTGACTTCTTGTCCTCACCTGTCCTCTCTCTCCATCCTGGGCTGACTCAAGCATACAGGCCTTGCCCAGTCCTGGGTTTCCAAAGAAAACCCTCAAGCCCAACCCCAAGTGCAATGAATTCCCCACGAGACAGAAACAGGTGACATTCCAGCTGCTGTCAGCATGTCACCCTGCCCATCCCAAGTCTCTGTGTCCTGCTTTGAGAGCCACCAGAGGCCAGTGGCCCACCCCTTGCACATTCTACTCCCTCACCCTGTCCTCCACGAGAGCCTCAGGCCTCAGGCCTCTGCCAGGCTGTACCCTCTGCTGAGAACAGCCTTGCGCTGGCTGACGTCTGTGCATCCTTTGGGCCTCAGCTCACATTCCTCCTCCTCTGGGAAGTTCTCAGGCCTCCTCTAGAGAGGTCCTCCCTACCCCTCTGGCCTCCCACAACACGCCATGTCCCAATCTCTCTGATCGCACTGGGCTATCATTGTTGTATCCTCCATCCAATAAGGAGCTGCTCAAGTCAGAAACTGGGTCATCCTGGTCCCTTCTGTGTGCCCAGTGATAATTTGTTAAAGGGTAGTGTGACCATATGAATTCTCTCCAGGGCCAGGGCCAGAGAGCCTTCTGCATATATACCTCCCCCAGCCTGCTCTGACTGGCCTTGCACCAGGCAAGGGGCACAGATGAGCAAGACTCCATCCCTGCCCTTGAGGATCTCTGGTCTGGGGGCAGACAGTGTCAGTGCAGGGTGATAAGAGCCCCAGAGAGGGGCTGCCCACAGGCATCACACCCCCACCCCGAGGTATCCAAGGCTGCGTCAACCACGCAGCCAGGGACAGAGACCAGTGGCCCCAAGCTGATCACAGCTGAGCTGCAAGGGCAGCAGAGCTCTCCCACTGTCCACTATCATCACTTTACAGAAGTCTAGCCTAAGTCTGTTATGCTGTACTGGGAACCAATTGCCAATTTCTCTTTGCCACTGTCCCTGTGTTTCCCTCTCTCTCTCTCTCTTTCCCAGCAGTGTCTTCATTCCTGTAAAAGGGATTCTAATTTATTACATGAACTTTATACAGATCCAAACCGCCATGGTTTAAATCACTTGTTAACTGTGTGATCTGGGACAAGTTACTTGAACTCTCTGTGCCTCAATTTCCTCATCTATAAAATGGGGATGACAATGTTACCTACGAGTATTAATTACCTATTGCTGCATAACAAAATACCCCAAATTCAAAACAACAACAACTCAAAACAACAACAAATATTTATTATCCCCCACATTGTCTGTGAGTTAGGAATTTGGGAGCAACTTCGTTGGGTCACGATGCTGGCCAGGCTATAGTCTTCTGAAGGTTTAACTGCAGCTGGAGGGTTTGAGTTGGCTCACTCACATGGCTGGCACGTTCATATTGGCTGTTGGCAGGATGACTCAGTTTTTCACCACACAGATTTCTCCACAGGACTGCTTGAGTGTCCTTATGACATGGCAGCCAGCTTTCCCCATCCAAGAGGGGGAGAGAAAAAGCAAGGAGGAAGTCACAGTGTCTTTTGTGACCTAACTAGGGAGGTCACACTCCGTCATTTTGGCAATATCCTATTGGTTTCACAGGTCAGCCCTATTCCATGTGGGAAGGACTATATAGGAGA